AGTAGATAGGCAGATATTAGATACGTTAAACCTATTAGTTATTTTATTGTTATTGGTTGTCAATAAAACGTTTACCTGATGTATAATTTTTACATATTATATAAACTTTTACCATATCATATTATGATTATTATGCGTACCTATAACCTATTTAGTAATTAAGATAAAAAAAATTTAAAAGTTTTTCTCGAGAGTCGAGACTCTATTAATTTATTAAGAGAACGCTAGGACCCTCATGTGCTGTCACTGTCTCACAATTTTACGTTCACAATAAGAGGACGTCACGCAATCACACTATACGTAAATTGAAAATTTTCGTTCAGTAATTTTGTATTTTACTAACAATAATAAATTAATAAACGTGAATACATAATGGAAAAAAGTTTCAAGTCCATACGATTAATTTTTTTTAGAATTAGGTAAGTATACAACGCATTTAATACTTATGTCCATATTTATAGTCAATGTATATGTCACATGAGGCATAGTTAACATGTCTTATGTGACACATATATATACTTACTACTTGACTATTAAATTGTTTAAAGAAAAATCGTAATTTTTCGTTTAAATGTACAATATTGCAATTTCACTAAAATTTGAACTTTAAACGATTATAAATTGATTCAAATTATAGTCTAAATATTTTAGAAATCATATCTCGTTTATGAAAAGAAAATAAGAATATTTGGTGGACATTTTAATTAGGGTTATGAGTATTTTTTTTTCTTAAAGTTGATTTATTTCATTTTAGAATTTTAGAATTTCAACAATAATGTACACAGTTAATTGTTTTTTAATTACAACAAAAAAATATATCCATTTAAAACTGATTTGCATAATATTTTCAACTTTTCGTATTTATATCTTTTAGTTTGTTCTGCTTATTTAAAAAAATACAGGTAATTTTTAATTTTGACTAAGTACCAATAAGATTTATTTTCCTACTAAAAAATTTCTAGAACCCACCCTCAACATTGAAGATTGATACTTTTTTACCCCTCCTAAAAGTGACGTTAGACAAAACTAATTGTAAAACCAATATATTCATCGCTCTACTCAGAATCTAACTTTATTAACTAATTTTATCTCGACCAATTATTATTAAATATATAATTATGTCAATTTAAAATGCTCTTATATGTGCATATTGATATAAATTTAAATAGCGTACCTATTATTTTGTTCTTCATAAACCTGTGATACAATGTTCGCCTGATATAGTGATATAGCTATGTAAGGTGTGCAATAACTAATTAATAATTATATGATTCTGATTTTTTAAGAGTCATTATTGTTCAATATCAGTTTAAAAGCATATTTTAATATAATATTTGTTGACAATTTAACTATTGGTTATATCTTAGTTCAACATTTGCCATAATAAGGATAAAACATTTGAAAATTCAGATTTTGTTGTAAGTAGTCTATAATGGTCTTTAACATTTTTAAATATAATCTTATTATATGACGTTTATTTTGCTTATTTAAGAATCAATAAGACCTATGAATCAAAAACTGAAAATCAACCAACCTCCCACAAAAAAATTTAGGACTTGTAGAATGCTAGGTGTTAGTGGTTTAGTCTTATTATTTATGCCGGAGTTCATAAATTAACATTTTTTTGTTGTTTAATTTATGCTTATATTTTATTTATAAAGAACAATATTAATTATATTAGATATTCGGAAGATATAAAAAAATAATTACTCAAGTATTATCAAATACAGTAGCTTATCTATTTTATTAAATCACACCATGTGTTCAATTATTCTATAGAAATCATTACCAAACCTTCAAAATTACATATCACTCGCTCAGTAATGCTAATCATGCAAAAGCTATATACTATACTATATACATCAGAACCTACGCAATGATATGTAGGTAGGTTAGACCTACTAGGTAGTTTGAAATTTCACATTACCAATACAAAAATTTCTAATGTCTTAGCTAATTGAATTAAATATTGTCATACTTGGTCCATCGCTAGTCCTATGTTGATTTTTTTTTTAATGGATACAAGACAATAAAAGAATAAAGAATAAATTATGGAAATATTTATAAAATACCGAATTATAATATAAATAAAAATTATTTAATATTTCTGGACTTCTGGTGTTCCTAAATATTACTATTATTACTGTTATGTTGAGGTAATGACAGAGGAGGAATTGAAGTGAAAATCTTGACACGCAGGACTCGATAATTTTGATCGCATTTTTAAAGACGATTGACAAAATATCTATTGGATATTAAATCTCAATTCGCAGCCCATCGGATATGCCACTAATTTATCAATAAATATTAAAAACAACTGAACAATGTACAAACAAGTCCTCATAAAAATTATGAATTTTATAAATTAAGAGTTATTTATTTTTTGAATTAAACATAATAATGTATTATGAATGGTTTTTTAAATTTCTTTTTACCTTTTTAGTAGTTGTTAGTGTGGCAATATTGTATACTATCTATATAATATACTGAAATTATAGACTCGTAACAGAAACATTTTAAAAGTATTTAATTTTGCAGAACAATTAGTGTTCTTTTTATTTGTGATATTAAATAAATACCTAATTTTGCATTATTCTAAGTTTAAATAAAATTTGTTGAATGTTCTATACAGTATACCTAACCTATAACCTAGAATACAAGTCGACTATACGCCTATACTATATAACATTACAAGTGACATATTTTTATCTTTTTAACTTAATTGAACTTACGTAATACTATATAATAGTAAATAATATACTATCAGTGTATTTAAATAATTGAATATTAAAAATCAAATAAATTACTGTCCATACATTTATATATTATATTTAGCTATGTGGCGTATCAGTTATAAGTTTTAACTCTTGTTTTCCTTTCTTTTGTGACAGAATCGCAATATTTTATTGAGGCAATTATCATAATAATTGAATATTTATTATTTATAATCAATGTTATAGTGACGAGTAACGAGTTGGTGTATCCTACACACGCTTCATAAATAGTCTTTCCGTGTTAGCTATAATAAAGCTGGAAAATACTAAATATCGTTGCCTATACCCTGGTGACTGATACCCTTACTCAGTATTACTCTCTGTTCATTACATACCAGTGGGCAGTGAAGCTTCTCCTAATAGATACCTCTAGGCTATAAATATCAAAAGTTTCAAATAGAGAAAAACATTTTAGGAACCAAGAGTGTCCCGGTATTTAGAAATTTCACTCTTTCTAAATTATAACTCAAATAAATAACATAAGTATAAATATACATATATGTAGGTACTCAAACAACTATCCAATATTTACTTCGATAATTATATTATAAATTATAATCGATCAACAATTTACAATACCATCGACTTGGTATCAATAGATATTATATATTTATTGCATTACACTAATGTCACCGAATATTGAACGCTAGACAAATCAGTTATTATTTCGGGGGCAATATTTGCTATAACTTATAAATACCTATACATAGTATAATATGTTATAAATTCAGTGAGTCGTGGTGGATTTCCGCGTTAATGTGTATAATGAATAATGATATATCGATGAAAACATCATTACCAAACTCGTGCAAATTTTATTATATGTTGGTACCTATACGACTTTGACCCGGTCTATTTTTTAGACATAAGACTTGTCGAATAAAGACGAATTAAATTGCATTAGTGCTCGACACAAGGGCAACGCGCGAGATATCGTCGACGAAATAAACGATAGTAATAAAACATATTATTATTAGTTATTACTATAACTTCTTGTTGATATTTTATAACTCGTTGAAAATGAGAAAACAAAGTAATAAAAAAATGTCGGTTTATACATAATTAATAAGAACATCGAAAAAAATCTCTTTTCTCCTCGACGTACCTACCTATACAGATAGAATAATATAATTATGTATAAAGTTTTTAAATTGAATTTCGGTGTCAATGATCATAACGACACAAGGTTGCGTTATCCCAAATAACTAATGAACCAGTAATGATAGACATTACCGTCCTTTACAGCTGTATAATATTATAATATACCACTATAGTCGGGCTATACAGTTGCAGGCGGGCAGGTAAAGTCGTCAGACATAATACGACGACGACACGTCCTACAATACGTGTCTGTTCGCGACGACTGTAGCAGAATATGCAGTGCCAGTATAGATAATATTTTTATATTCGAATATATAGGACCGCCCGGCGATAAGTTTTTTCGGATTCGTTTTCCATCGACGCCGCCGCGGTGTAGTGTCAAAACAAAACGTCGTAATATTGGCTGGGTGTCAACCCGAGTCTATAAGCGTATCTTACCTCTACACGCCGCTATAACCATCGACGTACGACATAATATTATATATATGTATATTATTGTACTGGCGTATAATAATAATAATAATATTGTTGTGCTCTCCGACTTCTGATATTCAGCTACTGCTGTGTGAGTGTACAGAACAACAAAAAAAAAAATAAAAAATACGAGTTATTTTCGAACGTAGCCGTCGCGCGTCGCACGCGCCTATTGGCTATTATTGTGACGCCGATGTAGCGGGCCAGCGGATGCTGTCGCCTCTATCGGACCGAGGAACAGTAGCGTTTCGGTTTCAGCGGCGCGCGTACTACGACCGCGGTTCGAATTTCGAGTGGACCGAGTGCACAATAATAATATATAGTGCAGCGAACGTATCGTAGGAAAAACGACGTGACGGATATACACGTGAAACGATAGCTGCGATCTATAAATCATAAATCGGAGATTTTCGTGGTTCGCTCATACTACGTACCTTATTACGCACTAAATAATAACAAAATTTTTATAATATAATATTATTATATCTGCAGTGTTCGTACAACCGAATATCATATATTATATACGCATCATCATACTAACCGCCAACGCGTTTTTCTGCAGGTCCACACCGTCGCTGCCCCTAAGCCCGACCGCGATAGCAATCGATAGTGTATATACCTCCAAACAGACATACCGGCAACGATAGCGCAATGCTAGCGTCCAAAGCCGTGGCACGTCTGCGTACGTTTTTCGCGGTTGCCGCGTTGATCGTGGGCCGTTGCGCCGGCAGGCCAGCGTCTGTCGGAGCCGGAGTTCCAAACCACGGTGACAACCAGAAGGACCTGCTACCGCTCCAACACACCATTATCGAAGTGTCGCCGGGCGAAACGGCTGTGCTCCAGTGTCCCAGCAACGATGAACACCACAGGTTCCAGTTCTGGTGGATGAAACCCGACCAGATCATAGGGCCCGGCACAGCGCCCAGCAGCGACAAATTCAAATACGAAGTCCTCACAGGCACTCTTTACATCAAGGTCGGTAGTGCTAGGTATATTAAATATGATTTATTATATTACTATATTAGGTAGTATGTACAAAATATACAGTACGCGGGTAAAAAAAGGAATAAGTAAATTTAGACATTTTTCGATTATTATTTTGTTTATTGAAGATGTTCTACTTGTTTGAGTAATGTTTAATTATTCTATACGAAATTAAGTAAAACATACAAGTCTAATGCATACCATTTGTTCATTGGTACTTACCGATTTTAAGCATCTACATAAAACATTCATGTTTGCTTTTGTAGATAGATCGAAAAGTATTAAAATATTATTATAATATGTTAAACTGTTCCAAAAAAATACGTTTATTGGCACTGTCTACTAAATACATTCTTTGACATTTAAGGCATCAAGTATTTCAAAATATCTAAACAATTTAACACATTTTAAAGCAGATCCAGCCTACACCAAACTGTTGTATTGAATTAGTCTTAATTTACCTTGACCGACGCACACAAACGGGTTAGGTGCGAATGTGTGATTAGATTTGTCCATAAAATGTATATAGTTAGGTACAGAGAGATTGTCAATACCTTCTTATTAATCATTATATTATATTATATTACTATATTAGTTTCGTATATTTATTATTAACGGAGTGTCGGAGTCACCTGAGTATATAGTGCTGCAGCGAACATATTTATTATAGGATATTTTAGGGTGTAGGAATTTTAGAGGGAGGTGATGGGTGAATCACACTCAGTACGGGCCTTGGATATTTTTATGACGTATTTATTATTGTAACTATAATAATACCAATTAAATTACTGCTAGGTACAAAAAAAATCCAAGATGTTGATTAATATGATGCACAGAGGGGACTTGGGAGTACCCGCCCTCCGTATTAAGAGTTAAATTAATAATGTATATCCCCCGTTCCACTGGAAAAATTGCAGATATGCCACTGGTTTTTAAGTAGGTGCCTAATAATGTAATTGAATATTTCAATAAGCTCATTCTAAACTCGGGCGAAACCCGCTTCCATATTCATCCGCAGTATGGCAGTTATAATGTATAATGGCTTCTATAGCTATATTGTACATACATATATGATATATCTTGTCAAAAACACTGCGTTATATATTTATATATATAATAAGTTCAATGTTCATTTATTTACATCAGACTAACGGTAGTGTTTGTGCTATTTCAGCAAGTAACACCTCAAGAAAGCGGGATCTACACGTGCGTGTGTAAACAACTCGGAAACATATCGATGACGGCAAGGTCGGTACAGCTGGAAATAAAAAAGGAATGGAAAGACCTCTGGGAAAACGACTACACGGTAATTACTTAAACATCACTATAGGACAGTAATGATATACACACATTTAAATTACTATCTAAATAATGCCGTAATACATCATCGTATACTATATCGTTAACACTACAACATTTTATTTATCTGCTTGAGTACGTAGGTATAGGCCGTACAGTACTAACACTTAACAGCCGCGGCCGGCGTGTATTAAAACATTATATATATATATATATACAATATATTTATATAATAATATATTACATTGAAAAATATATAATATATTATATAAATGTATGATGATTGATCAATGGTAGGGTATTTTTTCTACTATCTAATAGAGATCAGCACGGGCCGTTTTTTTCTGCCGAATCTTAAACTTAGAAAAATATAGCTCCCCCCCCCCAATTCGTGCACTGAAATACTAATGACTTTTATTATTAATATAATTTAGTTTTTATTTTGTAAACACCGATCACACTGTGTTACCAATTAAATTAGGAAATATAATTTTTGCCCGACCCGGTCAAAAGAAAATTACTACGATCCCACCCAACTGACCAGCAATATTTATATTATGACACGGCTTGTGCTGATCTCTACTACCCACCTAGTACCTACCTATATGGCTATTGGCTATATTGAATTATTAAGTAGTAAGTACATATGAATATATGATTTTGTATGAACGTTTATAAAATAAATATTTGATCGAATTTAACAAAAAACCTACGATAAAAAAAAAACATTACTTAATACTTTAATACTTCCATAGTATAATATTATGTTCTATACCAGCAATTGCGAAAGTGCCATACACTCGAACTTTATACAGCAGGGCACAATAAATATCGGTGCAAATAGGGGATGGAAAAAGTTAAAAATAGTCTCCTTAATTCAAAATGTAACAGGTACCTACATACTAATAATAATGTATAATTTTTAGAAAATATTAAGGGAGGGGGGGTGGCTTTGGTTACCTCCAAAAAATTGGACTATATACATCTATGATAATAAATAATACATTTTACATTACACCACATAATGGTTTGTCAGTAAATGTAATGTTTTGCAGTGTAGGTACTTAACGAGTGTCGAGTAACGATGAAAGAATTAAGATACCCATGAAGATAGTAGCACAAACAAATTAATTAGCTACTTATTATTAATTCGTCTTACAGCTTTCTAGATCGCAGTTTCAATGTTTTCGAAATATCTTATTGAAATCAATTTGTTTGTATACATATGGTGTCTATTATGCTTTTTAGTTTTGATTTAATTTACTACCTATACTACTTCAGTATTTTATATAATACATGACCATCAAACTGTATAATATTGGTAATCTATAACTGTAAATGGTGTTATTTTTAGGTACCTATGCAGATATATCACGTTAAAACAATGTAGAACATATATAAGTACAGGTCACCTTAGGAGTTTGACTATAATCAATTAGTATACGTTAACCAAAAGCAAACTAAAGAAAGAGTTGATTTCTCACGATTTGCAATTTTGCGAAAATGTGTACAATTACAAATACCTAGGTTAAATATTCTGGTATGAATTTTAAATTTTATAAAAAAAAAAACAATTATGTTTGAATTTGTCATTACAATGCACGTCGTACGTGTACCTAAATTGGCTAAATTTACATTTTATTTTGTTTTTAATTTTTTATACCATTTTACTTTTGCACAGTGTTTGTAAAACTCTAAAATGTAACCTAACCTAAGTTATTTGAAACACAAACATGAAAGAACCAATATGAATAATTATAACGATTTGTACAACTGATCTGTAGGTTAACAGCATACGATTGGCGGCTGTCTTGAGCGTGTTGGTGTTGCTGATGCTGTTGCTGTACTTGTTTTACCTAACGGCATATAAGAATAGTAACAGAACGTTGCACTTCAGGGGTAAATTTATTGACCAGTTGCATTACAGATTACTTTTTTTATCGGCTAGTCCGACTGCACATAATATTACATATAACGTGTTACGATTTATGGTTTCAGAAGATTCAGACGAAGACGTGTCGATGGACAGACAGATGTACAGAAAAACTAATATAATGAAAGAAAACATGTTTCAACACGGCATAGACAACCCGACGCTGGAAAAAGAAACGTCCCAAGTCAAAAATAACGGAGAGACGAAGGCGTAATATCGGATGCAATAACACAGTTCGTCGGTATGAAAAAGGCAGTTCCTTGTCGGAAAATGACTGTTCCGATTGTTATTTCTTAATTTTTCTCCGTCTTTATATAGTGAATGTATATATTATATAAAAATAAACAAAAATACGAATAATCTAACTGTATAAAAAAAATATACGAACAAAAAATAAAACAATAATATTGTATTGTTAAGACTGAAGTGTATCACAACCTGATGAGGACCAACGGAAGACTCTGATATATAATATTATTAGATTCTTGCTGTAGGAGTGTAGGACGAAAAATCGAATCAATTTTAATTTAATATAATTGGGATATAAAAATATACAAAATATAATATTATATTATTCGCGTAATTCCGGCAAGCACATCTCGCCAGCATAATAATATAAGTACATTAAACATAAACGAGTACCTACTCTGGTAGCGTTATACACATCATCATTATTCATTAACGACAGTAAAATAATATATATGACTATTATACGACCTCATATCATCACAACGAGTAACGACTACGACGACTACACGATATTTGAACATGGGTTGGAATGCGCGTTGGCAGGTGGGGGTTTTATTGGATAGTAAAGGGTTTGGTGGTTGGGGGAGCGTCACGTGGTCTCGTCCGCCAAGTTGGAGTCCCGTGTGACGTCCATCGCACTGTCATCATCCTCGTCCTCTTCGTCATCCACTTCCATCTCGAACAGCCGGACCTTGTGCCGGCTGTGCGACAACAGCACAGCCACTTTCCGGGTGCCGCTGACGGCGAAACTCGAGGCTGCCATGTTTTCCAAAACTCGGCACGTGTAATCGCTCAGCGTGTGACAGCTTCCGCTACTGCTGCTGTTGCCAGCGCTCGGCTGGCCTATCCGGCACGTTGTCAGTCCGTCCGTCGAACAGTGACTGCGCACGCAGCTGGTGGACAGTTGCACGAACAGGGAGAACCGATTGGACGCCCGGTCGAGCGTCTCCGTTAGCACAGACACGTAGTCAGGCGAATAAAACTGCACGTCGTGCACGTTCTGCTTGATGCCATCGCACGAGTAGAACACGGTGGTGCTGCGCAGCGTCACTTCTCGTGTGTCGCCGTACGCCATCAGCTCGTAGAACCCAAAGTCGTGTGCGTGGAGTTCCCGAACACAGCACACCAGCAGCTTGTGATTGGGCAGGTCCACCATGTTCACCCGAGTGCGACCGTGCGACAGCCCCGACGGCAACTCCAGATTAACGTTGTCGTACATGACGAACGTCTTGTCAAAGAACGTCTTGCGCTGCGCGAATATGTCCATCAGGTCGGCCTTGAGCAAGGCGAACTGTTGTGTCAGTGAATGGGTCCGAGACGCTGCCACGATCAGTTCGTTCTCCTCCAGGCACGGGTTTTCTTGGAGCAGTGACCACCACTGGCTGCGCGTATCGTACGGGCACTCCAGGTCACCGTCCAGGAAGTATTGGCCCACCCGGTCAAGTTTGTAGTCTTTGGACTTGGCCCCGGTCTCTCCCATCCCGTTGATGTACTCGGCCAGCATGTTTAGTTCCTGTTGCGATGTGTTCGACAGCGACGAGTCGTTGGCCGAGTTTTCGTCATTCAGCTTGATCATCATACCGTACAGCCACTTGAAGAACAGTTTGTACCGGGTCAGCGACTCTTCGATGACAATTTGCACCTCGTTGCACTTCATCAGGAACCCCTTGACCGACCGCAGAGCTTTCTTCACGCTGTGTTCCGTCAGTCCCAGACATTCGTACTTTTTCAGCGACATTCCAGATATCTCCACCAGCTGGAACAGAATCTGGTTGGTCACCTCCGAAAGTTGTTTCACCACTAGTTTCTGAACATTGGTGTGACTCGACTCTATTGACAGGCCGATTTTTTTGATGCCCTTATCAGTCAAATCTCTTTTTAGGAAGTGTTCCATGCGGAGATTTAATATACCATAGATTAGCAGTTCCAATAGATCAGACGCCACCATTTCCGGGTCTACTGGACAATAAGAGTTCAGTTTCAGTTCCATTTCCATTAACGATACATGTTCCCACGTTTCCAGTATGTTTTTCATCGTTTGATCTAAATAATCTAATGACGACAGCAACTGATCGTGTTTGAATGCCAAATCATAAACGTCGTCCCAGCATGTGTCGCACTCTTGTAATTTAATTGTCACTATATCTATACTACCATAGTAATATTGAATAGCCACATATAAATAACTAAAATCTACTGGCATGTGTATGTTTAACACTGTGGCTTCTTTTTTAAATACCTCGGCTAATTTAATGGATCCGCACAAAAATATACCCAATGCTAATATTTGCACTTCACAATTGGCCATGCCAACTAACAATAAATTCAATGTGTCTTGGACTTTTGGTATCTTGTTCTCCTCTTCAGGTGTATCGCGAAGGACCAAGCTTTGGAGTTTTGGGAGATAATCAAGACCATTCATCTAAATCAAATTACATATGAATTAATATACATATTATGAAAATAGATACAATCTGATAAAAGGCCAGGCTCAACTTAATGCATTTATTTATTTGTAATTAAATACATATTATTTGAAAATTGAAACAAAATAAATTAATTTCATAGTCTAGATTCAAAATATAAAACTGTATGTATATGGGAGTTGTTTACTTAAGATTCAAATACAGATTTTTTTTTCCATTGAAATTTTAAATAAATATATAATTTTTACTTTAAGAGGACGTAGCACCCGCATTTGTGTTGTCTCCCTCTTACACACATACGACATACCAAATGTTCGTTGGCTAGTTTCAGTAGGGTATTGTCAGTTTTTATATTAGAGTTAATTGAACTATTATCAAACTTTTAGGCAAGAACAGTATCTATGTTCTCTTGGTTTTTTACGATATTTTAATTTTTAAGTGAGTTATACCCGTACAGTATTCATATTCTAAAATGTTCATAACTCACTTAAAAATTAAAATATCGTAAAAAACCAATGAGAGAACACAGATAATGTTGTTACCTAAGAGTTTGATAATAGGTCGATTCACTCTAATATGAAAACTGACAATACCCTATTGAAACTAGCAAACAAAAATCTGGTATGTAGTAAGTGTGTAAGACAGAGACAATACATCCGGGTGAGACTTCCTTTTAAAGAGTCAGAGAGATTCAGTAATTTGAATTATTTTCTCAGTGAATTTTGTACATTTTTAATACTTAATATACCTATTATCAGTGCTCTAATTGAGAAAAATTAAGTAGAGGAGCTCAACCCAACAATTTAAAAACTGCGTTCCATGGGCGAAATTACTCATAACAGACCCGTGGGGGGCTTTGCCCCTCCCAAGGTCCTACCTTACATACATTTTGAATACAACTTTAAAACAACACATTTCCAATTCCAAATAGGTATAATATACTTTGATAGCAATATCTAAATCTTACATTGTTACAGTAGAAAAAAAAATTAAAAATAACCTAACCTGTTTATTCAATATACTATAATATAGATAACATAATTAACAACTATTGTTTTTGATTCAAAAGAGACTACATATTTTGATAAGTATAAAAAAAATTCAAAAATTCAAAAACACAAATGAATGACACCATAACTGGAACCGAGAACATTTCATTCGGAACACGATTTAATATTTTACCATCACACTCCAGTATCTGTTCCTTAGATAATATACTTGTACGATATTATTAATATTTATATTATATGATCTATGATCTGTGAACTATTGACTATATAAGCAAAACACAGGGTGATATTATAATTAATTATTAAACTCATGTCAAAAAAAATTTTGATATGAAATAGTAGAACTCGTTATATGATTGACATCAATTGAAGTTCACATTTTAATAAAAATTATTTACCGTCAGAGTTTATACCGTCCCCCCGTCCAAGTAAATAAAAATAGTAGGGGTATGTAAAAAAAAATAAAAATAGTAGGGGAGCTCCGTCCCCCTGCGCACCCACCACCAAAATTCGAGCACTGACTGTTATACTGTATAATATTATGTAATATCAATAAAACTCGAAATAAAACTAGACATAATATAATTTATCTATAACATCATCGGTATCAAAGGTATGGAGCTGAAGACAAATTATATTTTATCATACCTAATATGTAAAAAATATTGTGTTTCGAATTAGTTGTATAAATATTAAATAATAAAAGATAACCCATAAATGTATAATTTTTCAAGCCCTGATACAAGCATAATAACCAAATTCTAAAAACCTTAATCAGTACAGAATCTATGGTGTCTTTCTTCTGAGGTTTTTCTTGCTGTACCCACACCAAAGAAGTAACTTTACTCTCAGTAGTTTTGCTGAAGGCGATGTCTTTATTTTCCACGTCCACTAACAATAAATCACCTAAAATAAACATACATAAATTAGTCTGTTTTGTGCAGTTATCAGTGGTTAAAATGGGGGGGATGTAGTCCTCCTTCTTATTTAAGGCAAGATTATGCGTCCCTTCAAAATTTTTCCAAATTTAACCACTGACAATTATAAAACATCTTAATTATAATAGAACTCACGTGAATCATATGCGACAGCCAGCTGTTTTCCATCAGGTCTCCAAGCCAATGCAGTCACCAATGTCTTATCTTTTGGGGCGGCTAAGGACCAGACTCGTTGCCATGTAAGACGATGTAAAGACACCTCGCCTGAAAAATACATACACTACTAATCAACTAAGTAAAAAATTAAATACATAATTGCCAAATTATTATTGTCCATTCTTGTTTACCATGTTCTTTGGCTATGGCTAACAGATCCATTTTGTTCGACCATTCCATTTTCAAGACCTTAGTGGGCACATGCCGCTCTTCTAATTGTTTCATACCGTTTCCGTACATGGTAGTCATATTGACGAACAATAAACCACTTTAAACTTCAACAGATTGTACTATTTTCTGCGATTCGACATGATCTGTTTTGTATGTTGAACTATGATATAGGTAATATATAACAATAATTTGTTATACCTGTCATGGATTAACCAGTGTAAGGAGGCTTGGAGTGACAAAACGATTCAAATATGAATTTGGATATACCTATTCAATCAAAACGACTGTCGTTACTCGTTATCAGTTTTATCACTAAGTATAATCACTAGTATAATCACGATTTAAGATGGTAGTCATGGACCATGGTAGTACATCTAGTCCGTGGTATAATATTCATGGTATTATACCCGGTCCGTGGTCTGTGCCTGAGGCTGAAGGCGGGTTCACACTACACCGTGTCGTGTAATATAATCACGGTTACCTCAGTTACCAAACGATACCGCATAGTTGAATATATTCAACTTTTGACCGTGTGGTTACATTTATGTGCAGATCAGTGCTGCCAGATGGTACGATCCTGGTGGGGGAATACGATAATATTGCTCCCCGTACGATCCCCCATCGATGTAAAGGATGGCGATCGTACTCGATACGATAATTTTGAAATGTACTCGCATACATTTCTGCAATCGATTGTTTTAGATATTTCTGAAAAAGACGGGTTCTAAATTTATAAATAAAATTACATGTCGCTATCTAATTTGTTCTAAGAAATATTAGACAAACAAATAAAATTAATCTCTGAAATAGAATAGCTTATACCAATATACCACAGGGCACAGACTATTATATTATAGTATATATATATATATATATATATATATAATATGTTCGTGCCACAGACTATTTTCATACGGTCTGACTGTCTGAGAAATGAGAATATACCATTCAGGTTATATAATATTTGTATACCTAAAATATATAATTATTAGTAGGTATCTATTATTAACCTTTATAATTGGCCATTACGACATTACCCGAACCCGATTGCCGAATTGCCGAATTCAATACCCATTCTGCATTTAATATTTATATTGTTCATATTTCTTATTGCATTGTCATTTGTCAATTTGTCATTCTCTACTTCTCTAGCGACGAATTAGTGACTTAGTGTTATAGTGTAGTGAGTAGTGACGTACATTTTCAAAGTATGAGTGACTTCGAAGATAGCAATTTAAGGGATAGAACCCCTGAGAAAACCAAACGCTCGCGAAATGAAGGTTCAAAATCCAAGAAACCAACACATAAAAAACAAAAGTTTCGCACAGAATGGATGGACGAAAAAGATTTTAAAATTTGGCTCGTTCCAGTTGTAGGTGAACCTTTTAAAGGTAAATGTAAATTATGTAGTCTTGAGTTAACTGCAGAATTAACTGTTCTAAAAAAACACCAAAGCTCACAAAAACATCTACTAAATCTCCGTTCAACTAAAAATATTAAACAAACAATAAACTCATACTTCATTGATGATTCTAAAAGTAAACTCCAAGACCAAATCAAAAAAGCCGAAATGTTACTTTGTGGGTTTATTTCAGAACATAATTTGTCTTTCAATACGATTGGTCATTTAAGCAAATTATGCCAAGAAGCATTTACTGATTCTAGCATAGCGAAAGGTTTAAATATTGGCCGAACAAAAGCTACAGCAATTACGAAAAATGTAATTGGTAAATGCTACCATGAGGATTTGGCAAACAAACTAAAGAAGTATAAATTTAGTGTTGTAATTGATGAAAGTACAGACATAGGAACAGTTAAAAATATGGCGATTTGTGTTAAATACTATGATGGAGAACTCAATAAATTGGAAACAAAATTTTGGGAACTAGTTCAACTTTTCACAGATCCAGCGAGTGCAAAGGCGGGTGCTACTGCTGACAAATTATACAGTACTATGTTGAATTCTTTTATTGAAAATAAAATTACATTGGATAATATAATTGGTAAGTACAAAAAAAATAATTTTTTATTACTATATTAATTTTAATATCAGAGGTAGGCAAGAGATTTAAATGAAGAAATTTACTTTGTTTAGTTGAGTAAGTCAATATTAAAAACATTAGATATAAGCTTAATAGTTATCAAACAATGTATTTAACTCTAAAAGCTTTAAGTAAATATGGAAAAAAAATGAACTTAACTCAGTTGAAAAGAAATTAATTAGTTAATATTTAATTACCACGGTTTCGGATTTTAAAGCACTTAAATGTACCAAAACATGACCAACCATAAAAACATTAAAATATGTGTTTGGTATGCACTAAAAACATCAAAACTTAATAACATTTATTACATATCTTATACTTTATTTTATTTTATTAATTGATACATTTATAAAAAAAAAACTAAAGTGACTCTTATTTATTAACTATTAATATAAAAAAAAGATTGGCATTTTTCTTATGGATTCACATAAATGATTACCTATTATATTTTATTATGTTATTATTATTTTATATTAATATTTTTCTAATATTTTTCTTTTTTTTAATATTATAATTTTTACCCACTAATATATATTTGTTTTTTTTAAAAACTATAATATATGTATGATTGAATTTAGGTTTTGCGTCAGATGGCTGTAATACCATGTTTGGGGCGCATAATTCTGTTTCTTCAAAACTAAAAGAGCAATTTCCAGGTAATTTATATAATATTATCACACATTTCACAAATTAATAATTTTTGTTTTTCATAGGTATCTTTGTACAAAAATGTATTTGCCATAGTTTGCATCTCGTCGCTAGTGCAGCATGTAAGACTCTCCCAAGAGACTGTGAAGATCTGGTTCGTGACATATTTAATTATTTTAAATCTAGCTGCAAAAGAATTTCTCAATTGAAAGAATTTCAAGATCTTTGTGAATTAGAGCCTCATAAAATGTTACGTCCAGCCCAGACCAGATGGTTATCACTTTCTATGGCAGTATCTCGAATTATTGAGCAATGGGAGGCTCTAAAACAATATTTTGCTGCAAATTATAAAGACGATAGGCTAAAAGTTGCTGAAAATATTTATCATCGTTTAAAGGACCCTTCACTTTTTATGTATTATACATTTTTAAATTATATTCTTCCAAAAATTACTTCACTCAACAAATTATTCCAAAGCGATAAAACAGTTATTGATTCTGTGTTTACTAAAATGTCTGAGCTGTACAAAGATATTCTATTTTCATTCGTTAGGAAAATTCCGAACCCGTTTACGTACAATCCTAATGACGAATCCCAATATTTACCACTCAAGAGTATTTATTTGGGTGCATCAATGTTTTTATTAACACAAAATAAAAATATTGATGAACAGATGCTTTTAGATGTGTTAAAGCGATGCAGACTGTTTTTAATAGAAATTTGCATAGAAATCAAATTACGGTTTGATTTTAGTGATAAAATCTTATCTTCACTTATTTATATTTCACCTAAAAATATATTTAGCCAAGAGCATTCAAATACTCTATTAAATTTCGTTATATTATTCCCAAGAATATGTAATGATGAAATTCAGATGCAAGTCATTGATGATGAATGGCGAAAATTAAATTCTTACTTTGATTTAGACATAATTAATATACTGAAAAATAAAAATGTTGATATGTTTTGGTTAGATCTTTATTTGTATGAAGAAAATGGGGAGAAGCTGTTTTCTAATCTTTCAGCATTTGTTCTAAATATTTTGTCATTACCACAGTCAAATTGTGTTTGTGAACGACTGTTTTCCAAAGTTAACTTAATTAAAACTAAATTACGAAATAAATTAATGACTAATACAATAAATGGCTTAATAAACACTAGTGAATGTGTAAAAATCACTACATGTGTTAAATTCCAACCAACTAAAACCATGTATGCAAGCATGAATAATGAAATGTATGATTTTTCAAAAGATGAATTGAACAGTGAAATATTTATTGACGAAATTGTTTTTGAATAATTTGTTTTAATTATATTATATAAAATATGTACTATGTTCTACCATGGAATATATTATATAACAAGGTTTAGTTAATTTTTATGTTATGATAAAAATATGTTATTGTTATAATTACTATAATACAGTGTTACAATGTTATGTATTTGTTGTTATTGTATCTTAGGTAAAGTATAAAATATTTTAAGATATTTAGATAAAAAATAAATTAGCCAGTATGGCACAACAGTATTTACTCGGTATTTAATCTTTTTCTATGTGTTTTAAGAAGGGTTTACAATTTTAGCAGATATGTACTTATGAAATTGGAATAACGTTATATAATATAATTTGATTGTAATAAAAGAATTTATTTTGAAACGTATTAGGGATTAATTTTTGTTTTTCGAGCGCAGCGAGAAAAAATTTTATACGAGCGTAGCGAGAAAAATTTTTTTGGTCCGACTATCCGATTTTTTTTTATACGATAATTTCTTGTGAAATACGATAATTTTGAAGACGCTATACGATTATCACTCTTATCAAACCTGGCAACACTGGTGCAGATAAAGCCGGGTTCATACTTAATGTAACCACACGGTCAAAAGTTGAATATATTCAACTATGCGGTATCGTTTGGTAACTGAGGTAACCGTGATTATATTACACGACACGGTGTAGTGTGAACCCGCCTTGAGTCTGAGCACTGAGCAGCTGGATGCTGGAATACATAGTCTATGCTGGAATCACAGATATAAAATAGTATTTTGTGGCTGGAATACGTCCAGTCGTTATCAACTGATCAAGTGATGTGACTCATGTCGTAAAGTTTAATCATTGTTTGTAAATAGTAAATACCATGACTAAATAGGTAGGTATTAGGTACTAAAAAGTAAAAAGTAAATAGGTACCAACTACCAAATAGAGCGTAGAAGGTATTCAATATTCATAAGCGATAAACCATCTGTCGTAGTGCCGTCACTACAATATTATTATGATTTAATTGTTTACCATATTGCAAATAATGCAAATATTATAATCTTTCATTAATATTAACACTCGTAACATTCGATCGGTTGGAGTGGTGGATAAGGAAGTCTCCGCCTTGGAAAAAATCAAAGTAAAATATTTTATTAGTCAGAATGATTCTCATGTTCTCTTTTACTTTGTCTGACAATAAATAAATAAACACTTACCCGTCTATTTGTCCTATAATTTGAGATTTTGTTATTACAGTAAACGACCTGGAGGTGCCTGTTTCTAGTTTCTTTTAGTTTCTGTGCGAAAAAATGGCTCTCGGACATTCAGAACCGCAGTATGAATTGTTAAACGGAAAAAAGTAATGTTTTTCATCAATAAAATGCTACAGTGTTTATATTTTCTTTTAATATTTGTAGGAAATATGTTCAGCCAATCATACATTCCATGGTATTAATTGGATTAGCTGTTCTTGTGGTATTTGTAGTACTTCTGATGTTTTATGTATCTTACATGAAATTTGAAGACACCAATGATCAAAATACACCTATGGACTTTGTGCTTTTTGGTCCCCAGAAATATACAAGTAAATTTTCTTACTAATATATATATAATAATATTTTATAATCTGAGTCTATTTGTAGAAAGTTATTTTATCTTATTTCCAAAGTATTTAATATCTATTTACCAGAATTGTATTCACATTTTATATTTTTTTATGATAAATTTTGTTGAACACATTTCAGATTCGGATATTGCTGTTTACCGTGCTCATACATTCGCTATTGCTGCAAAATCAAATTATAAAACATACTGGACTGCTAAGGATAAAATTATTCCCGACAAACGAATTGATAAAAAATATAATTTAGCCTGTTATTATTCTATACCAACTGATGATACAAATAAAACTCTTCATCCTGCTCAAATTAACGCTACTTTATGTACTCATTTAATTGTAGCGTTTGCACAAGTTCAAAATAACAGTGTTTACTTCAAGAGCTCATTTGATATGCAGGTGAGATGTTTTATATCATTATTATTTATTATAATACTAACAACTCACAATAGCTTTTGTTTGATTTGGTCAACAATCGTATAAATTGACGCTTTTTCCAAATCACACAAATTTATGGTTTAATAATTCAATATAATATTGTCTAAATTACTGACCTGGGACCACATTCTTTATAGCTTAAAGACTATGGTTTATCTAATATAAAAAAAAAAAGAATTACCTTTGTGACTGTAGGTACTTTATATTATAATGATTGTTGGATATTAATAAGTTGTGTTGATATGATTTTTGAATGAATAGAGATTACCTAACTTGAATTAAAATAATCAATTGGAATACATCAACTTATTATTATTGGGAGATGGTAAAAGAACCTGTTAAATAGTTAATATTTTTATTGTTTTGTATAAACATAAGACAAATCTCTTTGCAATTAAGTTAAAATCACATTTTATAATTTCAGATTTTAAGACAAGTAGTGAAGTTACGTAAAAAAAACCCAGAATTAAAAGTATTACTATCTATAATGCATTTCTCAAATGGTTCACATTCAAATGAAGGTTTTCCCGGCGTTGTTGCAAATAAAGATAACTTAGACAAGTATGTATTATATTATACATATTTTACTTTATTTAAGTATTGATAAGTCAATTTTCTTTACTTGTACACCAATTTAGGCATTCAACTGGTTCAATAATTTATATAGTGTAGAGTCATATAATGTAGAACAAATTAATAATCAATAATTATGCATAATGTGTTACCTATACAGGGTAATTCATTAAGCGTACAACACTCATTATCTCAAAAACTATTAATATTTTTTTAAATATTTTGATACATAAAAATTGAATTTAGAGCTCGTAGTTTATGAGTTATAAGTATTTAAAGTTTATATAGACGGAATGGATTGGTATGGGGTTACCCCGCAAAATGTTTGTCCACTACTCTGTTTGTCTAAACTTTAAATACTTATAACTCATAAACTATTCTTCCTAAATTCAATTTTTATGTATCAAAATACTTATAGAAAAATATTCTGATTTGGAAAATTAAATTAAAACTCTATGCTGTCATTCAAAAAAGTAAAAACTTACAAAAAATATAAGGGTAAAAAATATTTAAGAATATAACTTTTTAATAAAAACGTTGTTTATTACTGTATAACTCAAAACTATGTAAAAAAATTTATACTTTTTGAGATAATGACTGTTGTACGCTTAGTGAATCACCCTGTGTAAGTAAATATATTTGAAAGTAAAGTTTGTCTGATGACAAATTATTAAAACTCCTTTGATTTTTAATGTTAAATAGTTAAAACTTAAAATAGTTAAATAGAAAGGTACAATAATTTTAAAATGTGGATCAGCACAGCACAATCGCTGAAATCAATCAAGTACTTGATTGAGAGTAAGTAACCGCCGCTGCTACTAGTTCCCGGATAAGTGACCACCCGTGTCCATAGTGGCAAAATCCTTGCCACACATACACATGTTGCTAACCAACCGTACTAACCCTAACAACTGTAACCCCTACAATAGCTTGTGGCCATAGTTGCCGGGCTCTAGACCAATAAAAAAATATTAACATGTATTTTTAATTTGTAATAGATTATTAATCATTGCATTTAAATATTTGTTTTTTAGATTTGTCAATAATGTAGTATCAGTTGTCAGAGAATTTTACTTGGATGGTATTGATATAGACTGGGAATTTCCATCATGGCCTTTATTAAATTTAGAAGAAAAATATGGATTTGCTAAATTACTAGAAACCTTGCGTAACAGTCTACCTGACTCTCTATTAACTGCAGCTGTTGCTGCTCCATTAAATATAATTGATAATTCTTATGAAATTTATTCTTTAGCAAGGTAAATATTGCCTTAACTATGTAAATACATAAATATTTTTTAATTGATGTATATTTTTTAGTTTTGTTGACTTTATAAATGTTATGACATATGATTATCATTCATACCAATGGTATTTCCCATTAACTGGGCCAAATTCACCTTTGTTTTCTTCACGGAATGAATCTGGATACTTCCAGGATTTAAATATTAATTCTTCTATACAATATTGGATCTCAAAAGGTATGCCTAAAGAAAAGATTTTGCTTGGCATGCCTACATATGGACATTCTTTTAAGTAAGTTTACATAATTTTAATAATAATTGTAACTATTAAAATATTATTCTTATCTTTTAGATTAATAAATGAAGCCAATAATGGTTTTGGGTCTCCAACTTCTGGTCCTGGTATCGGCAAGGACGGTTTTGTAACTTTTTCAGAAACTTGCGAATTTCAATCACATCAAAATGCTTCCACTGTTTTTGACCATGACACCCGTACGCCATATTCATATCATAAAAATGACTGGATATCTTTTGATAATGAAAATAGTTTAGCCTACAAAGCAGAATTTGCTGCATCTTTAGGTTTAGGAGGCGCCATGGTATTTTCTTTAAACACTGATGATTATAGTGGTTCAAGTTTATGTTCGTCATCAGTATTTCCATTAACTTCTAGAATAAAAATAGTATTAAATGATGACTACTTATAAATATTTATGGAATATTTTAACTAAATACTAAATAGTCTCTAAATTATATTATATGTACTTAAGACAGTGTAATTGCTTATAAATGTTTATAAAATTATGGCTGCTGAGCACCTCCCTATCAAACTATGTACCAACAGAGATAACTTATATTTTATAATGTCTGGATTCCAATAAATTCGTACCACAATTCAATTTTTTTTTATATTTATGTATCCTGTATAGTATTTTCTATCAATGATTAAAATAGTATAAAATTATATTTATGGAAACAAAATATATAATTCTATAATCACAGACAAATCTTAAAGGGAAACCCATATAAATATATTATAGTAGCATAATATTACAGCTCGTAATAATACAACTCATATTTAAAAGTTTGTATGTTAGAATAAGCAAAGATAAAAACTCAAAAGGAATATATTATTATCAGCCCCCATAATCCATAACCATAACCGATCATGTAAATACACGTGTCACTGATATCAACAAAATGGTGCATTTTCTAATAAGACTAAAATAAAACTAAATGTTTATCCATAAGACAAGCAAATAGTAAATTATCCTAAATAAAAAAATTGGTATTATTTAGGTTTATAGTTTTTAATAGTATTTTTTGATAAAATCTAAGTAAACATTATATTATAATACAATGATTTTATATTTTTAATTACTTAGAAACATATTTGATTCAAATATCTTGTTATCTTATTATCTCAATTGTATTGTGGAAGGATTGAAAAATAGATTTTTTCAGGGTTTGTAGAGAAAAATAGTAATTGATTTTATAAAGATTTTATTTAAGAATATTCACTTATGTCTTATTTTATTATAATAAGTTTTGAAACTTTCAAACTTAAATTAATTATTATTAGTTTTAAACTAAATTAAAATGTTTAGTATTGTTAAACAATTAATTTAATACAAGTATTGTTTTTGTTATTAGTTAATTAAGGGTATTGATTTAAGTGAAATTAAATAATATTATAGTAATTTCTTAACTTTTTATACAAAAATTGTTAAATTGAAAGACTATAAAATTATGTGTTAAAAATATAAAGAACACTTACCTATACCAATATCATGATAATTCCATTAAATTGTTATTGCCATTAAATGTATTTATATTTTTTTACATATTATATAATATTATTTTATGAAAGTTGTGATGTAAATTATATAATTAAATACTGCATTTGTAATTTGTATTAATATCTTAATTAAATATTGATGATAACTTAAAGGCTAGATTTATTAATACAGTTTATGTATTCAAGATTTATTCCAAGATAAATAAAAAGATGACCAATAGATTTTAATCTATATAAGACAATGAATAACATTTTGATAGATGACATTTTGAGATAAGTCTCAACAGTCAACACTGAAAAAAATTATTTTAAAACGTCATTGTGTGTATAAAATATAATAATTTACCTAATATAAAAGTTTCAAGTAGGTACCTATGATTCACAAATAATATTTTTTAATTTACATCAAAATTACTAAAATCGTTAATATTTATTTGAATATCTATAATTTTGTCCAAATTTGTACTTAAAATATCTATAAAAAAAAAACTGTGCTTACACACTTTACATTTTTTGGTTACAATAAGTATTACTAATGAGAAACCTTGTTTTAAATGTTCAATCCTTAACTATAAAAATTGAATGTTTTATACATTTTTAACAAATAATTTGCAAAATGTTCAATTTAATAAAAGTTACACAATTTAAATTTTAAATGCTTATAAAATAAGTCAACCGAGGCTAAATGTATTTTTAATATTTTTCATCTGCTATTACACAACAAGTTATGAGGAATATAGTATTAATTAATATTCTAACATTTTGACCAAGTGAAAAAAAATTTATTGACATTTACAAAAAAAAAAACGAGGTACTTAAATAAAATTTAAAATTCCTAAACTGCAGTTCAGGAATCTCCGTTTTCCTTGATTTATTTTTAGTTTTTCCCGACGCTTTTGCAAACAATTAGGAATTTTTTACTTTTTACACCTCAAAGTAAGAACTAGATTCACTTTTCTACCTGAAAAGATGGTGAAGTAGAAAATCGAAGCAGTATTACTATTTACTGCCAGAAAAGGCGATGCAATAACTTGAAAATCAACCTGAAAATTACTTGTTTTATAGTTCCAATTTATAATAGTCTAGCATGGATTGAATAGGTGTATGATTAAAGCAAATAATTAAAAAACTATACTAAAATTTGTATGTGCTGATCATTCCTCCTTGTGGCTAGCAATATTCAGTCCCACAAGATATTATTGAAGTATAAGTTTTTTTTTAATTTAAATTGAATTATAGGTATATTATGTTTTAATTTTAAATAGTAATTTATATCTTAAAGGTTGCTGGAGTAAAAATAAAATCACATTAAAAAAAGTGCTGTTCCATCAATTTTTCCTGAGTCTAAAAGACAAAAAGTGATGACATAGGTACCTACTTATTGTTATTTATTCCAGAATGTCATATTTTTTATATGAATACTGTATTATTTCGTAAGTAGTTACTTATATAAAATGAGTCTAAATTTATATTACAGATAACTTTAGTTATATAACTAGTAAGCATAAAATAATATCTGTAGTATCCGTTCTTAAGAATACGCCGCACCCACATATCAGGCCACATAATATTATGTTGTCTCCGTCTTATATCAGTGCGTAACATAGCAAATTGCACGCTCAGCAAAACACGTGTAGCTCCGTTAGTTCAAAAGTTAGAGTGAATTGACCTATTATCAAATTTAGAAGTAAGACTTTTATCTAGGTAATGACCTAGGATTTTTATTAAATTTGAATTTTAAAGCTAGTTATGAGTATTTTAAAATCGTAAATTGTTTGTACATCTTAAAATACTCATAACTCGCTTTATAATTATTAAAATACAAATCCTATGTCATTGCCTAGATAATATTCTTACTTCTAAATTTGATAATAGGTCAATTCATTCTAATTTTCAAACCAACAGAGCTAAACTCGATCTATGTAAAATTTGCAAATTTTCAATGTTAGTTGTTACATCATCACATTACACATCACATAGGTAATAATATAACACTTATATAGTACCTAATTAATAATAAGTATTTATACATTAGTCATAAATCATAATATTGGAACTCTTAAGAGTTAGGTACGTAAAATAAAAATAAACAAATAGACTTACAATATAAGTCATTATTAGGAAGCAAATGTTTAAACTCATCAATTAGGTACCTACAATCTACATCATTAAAGTCAATACCAATTAAAAGTTCTTGTTCGACAAACAAAAAAAAAGCGCATATACGATATACCGGTAATCTTTTTTGTGACATAGTAATTCTTAATTTGTTTTTTATAGTGCTGAGTTTTTAAAATCTACTGTCACAGCTACAACTATAGTCACTGGAATTGTCACCAACATTTTAAGACAATGAAACAAATTTTTAATACTGTTTTAACCAATCGAGCTATTTGTGTATAGAATCTGAGTTTGTACCGTTTGGTGTACCTATCTTCTTGGGGTAGGTATTGATAAAATAGTATTTTCATTTTTTATTTGAAGAACATTGAACATTTATATTTTAATTTAATAATAAACTCAATATGTTTAAAATTATTCATTCTATGTATATACCTTTCAAATAAATATCTACCAGCCCACTAAATCCAAAATAAATTGTCAGGTGTAGCGAAAGCAGCATTCGCTGCACCCGTGAACACGCCTATGATACAATGTATTAAAAAATAAAGGTAAAATATTTTTTGACGGAAGGATGGTTAATTATATTAGTTTAAATAAAATTGCATTTTATAAAAAAATATGAAGAACGGCAAATTACGAATTTAAAAATAGATAGGTACTTTTTAAAAATACGTTGGAAATAAGTTTCCATGTGTTTCAACATAAAAATATATAGAAAAAGTCTTTGAGTCTAACTAGTAACTACAATATTATCTACTCAACTACCTACCTAGGTACTTGCACACAAAATGTTTGTCTTGGAGATCCATCTTAGTCCTGGTTGTAAATCGTATATGAAATGCTATCTAACTAAGAATTTAAGCAGTTGCGAGGGCCAGTTCTTTGGGCGTTAGATGGCGCTGCCGTTATTGAATTAATTTAACTTTAAATAATAATACTGGCGAATGCCGCTAGCTGCGTTAGGTTAGATTAAACCTCACTAAACCCAACGAAACCTAACTAAACCTAACTAAACCTAACTAAACCTAACGAAACCTAACAAGACCCAACTGAACAGCGTGTGTCTCAACTCGAGTCCCGTGAATCTTGACTTTCGGTCACGGAGGACCTATATCACATTTTTTTTATTTTAATCCCAGTAGCGGAAGTCGAGTTTTGGACAAGTACCTATCTATACATAACTTATAATTCGTATAATGTAATTTAATTACCAAATAAATATAACTTTCCCAATACTGTGTCTAGGGGCATTCCTTTGGCAGAATGCATTTGAATGTCTTTAAACTTTTGGAATATAGTTTGTATGGTCAAATTTGTAACAAGTAACACAACTGAAATAGAAAACCAGAATAGGTAGAAACATTGTTGGAGCTCGGGCCCATTTTAAAAACTTACCTACCGCCGACTGTTATAGGCACCCCGAGTCCAGCCTCTGATAATACAGAATGTTCTCGAGGCGGCCTACCCCCCCCCCCCCCCCCCCCTCTGTCGTGTCAAGCTCGAGCTTGCATCCTGTGGCTGCTCTCTGACAGCCGTGCCGCCGGTTTTTTCCGAGCGGTCGAACCTGGCGCACGTCGCGTCCGTTCGCCACCGCTTGCCTCGCGTGCCCCTGTGGACCACGTGACGCGTTTTTGTTGCCAAGTCGTCGCGTCTGCGCTTTACCGCCGCGGCTGTTTTTTCGCCGAGTGCCGCGTGTGCTCATGTGGACCGCGTGCGCAGCCGACGCGTTGGTTGTTAAGTCGTCGTGTTTGTACGTTACTGAGTCGTCGTTCCGCGGGTCGGACG